ATCCATATTGTTGTATAGGACAGGATTTCCATTATTTTAAACACTGATTATTATTCCATTTTAGGTAGATACCACTTTCTTTAACTACTCACCCATCTACAGACATTTATTTCCATATTCTGGCTATTATGACTAATGCTACAATGAATATAGATAGAAATATTCTTGATATCCTTATTTCAACTCTTTGGATATATCCTAGGAGTGGGATTTCTAGATCATATGATGGGGGTGGTTCTATATTTAGTTTTTTGAGGAACCTTTATACTATTTTCTATAGTGACTGCTCCATTTTATATTTCTGTCAACAATACACAATGGTTCCAGTTTTTCTACATTCTCATCAACTCTTGTTATTTTCTGGGGATTATTTGTTTGTTTGTTTGTCTGATAGTTTTCATCCTAACAGGTAGGAGGTGATATCTGGTTTTGATTTTGATTTTTGTTTCTCTGATTATTCATGATGTTGAACACTTTTTATGTATTTATTGGCCATTTGTATAAAATCTTTGAAGGACTGTCTATTCAGATCTTTTGCCTATTTTTTTTAACTTTTTTTTCCTTTTGCCTATTTTTTAATTGGGCTATTTGACTTTTTGCTATTGAGTTATAAGAATTTCTTATATATTTTTGATATTCACTCCTTTTTAAATATATGGTTTGCAGATATTTTCTTCTGTTCTGCAGGTTGCCTTTTCATTCCGTTGACTGCTTCCTTTGCTGTTTAGCTTGTTGTAACCCCACTTGTCTATTTTTGCTTTTGTTGCCTATGCTTCTCGTGTCATATCCAAGAAATCACTGCCAGGACCAATATCAAGAAGCTTTATTCCTATTTTTTTTCTTCTAGGACTTTTATAGTTTCAGGGTTTGTGTTTAGATCTTTAATCCATTTGAGTGGTTTTATTTGTTTGTTTATTTATGAAATAAGATAAGAGTTCAATTTCATTCTTTTAACTGTAGATATCTAGTTTTCCCAATACTATTTGTTGAAAAAACTATCTTTTCCCTTCGTTACCTTCTTTCATACATTTTTTTCCCCATGTGGCTTAATGACTGAGTTTAATTTATGGATCCCAAGAACACCAACTCCATTATTTCATTTTTCAAAATATAAGTGTCAGATTTACAGACAGGTTTAGAATGAGATACTTCTTTTGGAAAGGACAAGATTGAGAAATGCTCAAATGTCAGATTAGATGCTTGGACTCTATTTGGCTTATAATTGTTGTCTCTATACAGCAAATGTTTACTGGCATCTTGAATATAAAAAGAATATATACTATGCTTATTCTCTCTTTCAGTCTCTCTCTGTGTTTCTGTTTCTCTTTGTCTCTCTCTCTTCCTCCTTCTCTCTCTCCTTCTCTTCATATTATACAAATGTGGTTTAGATCCTTGTTTCGGAGAGCTTAAAATCTAGTTGTGGTTAGGAGATTTAACGTTTTTTAAGGAAGAAAATTATAAATTGTAAATGTAGTCAAGATCCAGGTCTGGGAAAGTTGAGAAATGAGAGAAAGCACTAGGCATTTGTTATGTCATTTTAAGCATGGCAGGGTTTTCAGTATGAAGATATGGGGAAAGTGACATTCTAAGCATAGGGAATGAAGTAACATGGAGTTAAAAGATAGGAAGAGGGAGATCAAATTACTAGAAGCAGTAAATGAATGTATTAAAGTCAATAATAGTGCCATGCAGTAGAAATGTATGCTGTGGCTATACATAAGCTTGAATATCAGGCTGAGATATTTAAGGTCTTTAATTTTATTTTTAGCTTTAACAACTCCTTTTTTCCTATAAGAAAAACTAAATTCCTGGAGATAATGAGTCTTTTCATTATCATTATAATCAGTTGAATATAAGATATGTACATATAACTGGGGTAGAAATTAACAGAGACCTACTCTCAGGAGTCTTGCATTTTAGGGATGAGACCCATAAACAAATAACTGTAATACCATGTTCTAAATGCTATTACGGAGATATGCCCATGAAAGAAACAATTATGGGAAAGGTAACAAATATCTCTGTAGGGTTTGGGTAGGATTCATGATGCACTTAAATGAGACAGGTCTTAAAGGATAAAAAGAGTTAAACAGATTTCAAAGTGGGAAAAAAAAAAGCTTTTCTAAAAGAGAGGACAAAAGAAAAATAATCCAGCCTAGTTAAAGGTCAAAGGAGGAACTTAAGAAATGGAAAAAGCTCTATGAAGCTGGTTATGATTGATGGAATGAGTGACAGGTGCTAGACCGAAAATGTGAGTTAGGTTGTAAAGGGATTTGAGGGGCAAAGACTCTGGATGCATCTGTTGCCAGTGAGGAATCAATCAATCAATCACTAGAGGTTGTAAGCAAGGAAATAGTATGAGTGGATGCAAAGGACTTGAAGAATGGCGTGGCCCAGGTACTACGAGTTAGGATAGTGGCTTTCAGGATAAAGAGGAAGAATGAGACTCAGGAGGAACTGTCACTGAGTAGTAAAGGGCTCCTGTGAACTAGAGCTCGTGTGCTACCTTGAAGATAAATAATCGATATGGGTAAGTCATTTCTCACTTCTCGAGATTTTAGGAGGCAAATGCAGACCCTCCTAAAGAGAATAGTTTTTAGCTTTTACCGTTACCACTAAAAAGTCTAATCCCAAATTGTTTACTGATTTTTTTATGGACTTGTTAAATCTCCCAAGCATACCAGCTAAAACCCATTATCACGTTATGATTCATATAAAATTTTCACACAAGTTTTTGGTTTTTGTCCCTACCTAGCTTTAGGTGTTTTCTCACTCTCCTCAAATAGGAAGAGATTTATAGTTTTTATTTGTTTGTTTCAGCTAAAGAAACCAATGTTCTTAGCATTTTTCCTGGGAATTCTTTACCTTAGAAAGAGTTTATGCACAATTTTGGATTCCATAACTTTTCTCATAAGAATTGTCATTGAACTTGATATTTTCCAGTAATTGCATTTATTTGCACTGTATAAGATCTTACATTTAGTTTGTACCTTCCATGTTAACTCTTCTTGTATTACTAATACAGCAATCTATATTAGTTAGGATTAGGGTTAGTTCTGTGTTGCACAGACTAAAATAACAAGGATTGATTTTCTCAGATAAATGTCAGACGTAGCTAATTGAATGTGGTACTGGTGCCACTGCTCCACAAAGTCCTCAGGGACACAACTCCTTCCAGCTTGCCTGCAACCACTCTCTGTGGAGTAGCCCTTGTTTTCACAGTCTGGGATGATCCGGCCACCACAACTTGTGTCTGAACAGCAGTAAGGCAAAGGGTTGAGAACAAGAAAAGACACTTACAAGCCGTTTTAATGGAAAGAGTCTTCATGCACACAAAGACCCTTCTCTCTACATATTATTAGCCAGTTTGGAGTCCATAGCCACAGCGAGCTGCAAGGTCTGT